CGGGTTTCACAAAGGGTGTTTCCCCCCACCCCGCGGGGAGGAGCCGCTCCGGAGACCCGGGCCCCGGCGAGCGGGGCCGCCCCGGGGAGCGCCGCTTCCCTTCGGGTCGTCATTTTCTGAGCATTGCCAGCTTCGCCGGTTTGTTTGTCTTAAAGGACTGGAGGCCGATGCATGAGGGGCCCGCGGAGGCGTCGGAGCGGGGGTGATGGTTTGGGAAGCGGAGCTGACGGGCGCTGGGCGTTGGTGAGGCGTGACAGGTGACCATGACCGTGTTCAGGCAGGAAAACGTGGACGATTACTACGACACCGGCGAGGAGCTTGGCAGGTAAGCGGGTGCCGGAAGCGCACGCTGCTGGGCCTGGAGACAGCATCATGATGGGGCGGTGGGTGGGAAGCGGGCGCAGTTTCCATCAGGCGTCTCCCTCGCCCTCCCTGGAGATGCGCAAGCAAATCGTGCGGAGTCCCTAGCCCGGCCAGGGCCGGAGCACAGAAACCAAGCGCCTGATCCAAGGGGCCGGGAGTGGAGGCGCTCCACAGTGCACCGGCCGGAGCCCCTGGGCAAGGACAGACGTGATCGTGTGCCCTAACTCTTGTCAGCTTTTGCCCTTCTGAGACACCGCGAGGCAAACGCTCGGCTTATAGTTGCAGCCGGAGTTGGGTGTGATTTCAACAGAGAGAGTGGACTGATGCATAGCCTTAAAAAAAATCTGAATACTTTCCCTCTTTCTGAATTTCCAGTGTAACACGAGCAAGGATTGGGAGTAGGTGGTAAATGGAGGCTTTCCAGATGTTTATGTTGAGCTTGGGTTTTGAAACTTCTCCCAGCCAGGAATTTAATGACCCAGTTGGTGTCGGTGGCTGCTTCAATTTCGTCGACGATGTTAAATTTTTAACAGATCAATGAGAGTCTAATATGGCTATCTGGATTCAGAGCATACTTCCCCTGCTGTAGCAGCTGTGATTCTCAGTGTCCAATCTTTCAGTTTATGGGTGAACAAAGAATTATTTCTTTGGGGGGCGTCTAGGGGCGGATTGCTGCTTCCTCTGACTGGGTATTTTGCGTAGTGTGAGGAGCTTGGATCTCCTTGAGCAGAAAACCCAGCTTTCAGACCTAAATTTAAAATTCACTTCATGGGATTTGACTGTGTATGTGTTTGCATTGTTAGGGAAGTAAGCAAAAGGATCTTTAAATCAACAAACAAAACATGTATTTACTTACACGTGCACTGAAATATGTATTTTTCCCATACACACCTGATATCCTGATACGAAGATTCCGTTTTCTTCATGGAAAGGAAGTTTTAAAGCCCCCACATTCTAGATTGCCTGACGAGAATTATGAAAGCTGAGCTTAGCTTTTAAAATTTTTTAAAAATTCAAGTGATAGTACAGAATGAAAGCGGCTTTTAAAGAATGACTGTCAGCATATTTCTCTGTATGTTTAGTGTTGACAGAAAACAGATAGGAGCCGGGACTGAGGGGACGCTTACTATACATTGAAGATTTAGTGAGCGAATAAGAAGGAATCTCTCGAAAAATCACATTTCATGGACATGGTTAAGATTAAGGTTTAAGAGCGAGTGGTTGAACTACCTGGTTTAACTGGAATTAACTCACTTTTTCCTGTGATTTTTAGCAGGACAAGTGGTATACGGAGTTTTCCTTTGGGACTAGGAAAAACAACAAGGTGAAAAAGTACATTTTAATTCCAATTGTGTAGTGTAGCCAGATTACATAAATTTTGTTATAAAGGTGACTACAATTAGGTGAGATGATTATTTTATTGCTTAAGTTTATTGACCTTTTTCTTCATTGTGAGCTTTTGGTAGAATCATGTGTGAGAAAGAAAAAACCATAACAAGGCCTCCCTGTGGCTGGCGAGGGGAGTTTGTGATCTTTATTTCGTGGGCGTGATGACAAGGTTTAGCTCATTTGTCACTAGCGTTTTGCTTTGATTTTGGCTCTGTGTACATTTCAGTGTATAACTTTCTCCCACTGTGCAGGACTAATTGACAAGTTGTTTACTAAATAATTGATGTGACCTAGGAATTTGAAATAAGTACTCTGAGAAACTGGGAGTTGGGCGTTTTAAAAAATAAAGTAGACATACCCATCTATCTTGTATAATTGGTAGCGTTTTTGCTAAAATGAAAAAGGGGGAGGGGTGCATGGTTGATGTTGGAGGAAAGTTTTTCAAGTCCAGTGATTTTATGTCTGCCTTGTATTTCGTCCCTTCCCGAAAACAAGTGCGAGATGGACACGTGAGAAGAAGTGTATGTGGCGTCACATGTCACTGAGAGAAGACTGGGAGTAGAGGCAGGAGCTTAGTGGCAGAAAAATGGAGATGGGCAGGTATTTGGCACAAATGCAAGGTCATTCTAAGCAGTGAGTTCCAAACCTCTAAGCAGCGAGTTGTCAGCAGGCCAATATCTGGGATCTGAGACGTTACCTACAGATTTTTAGTGGTACTTCAGTACTACTACTCACCTTATAAATGTGGTGAGAGTCCATACCTGAAGGAGAGAAATGGGTTTTTAAAGTAGAATATCGTGTTGTTATTATTAATACTGTTTTGCATTTAGGAGAACTGAGAGAATATGTATGTGCAGATGTGTGTCTGTGTGTACTGCCCAAGCCTTCTGTAAAAACTCTCTGTCAGCTGTCAACTTTATAAAGTATTAGTTATTGCTGCATTGGTAGAGCTGATGGACCACTGGACAGATACCCCGGTTCTAAACCTGGCTCTGCAACTTGCTAGCTTGACCGTCTCGAGCAGTTCACTTACTCACTCTGACCCTCAGTATCTTCATCTATAAAATGAAAGTCCTGGTGCTTATTTCATGGCTGTTGTGAAGATCAGTTAATCTAACTTGTAAATGTATTTTATCAGCAGTAAAGAGTTAAACAAATAAAGATATTATCTGTAGGACTGGCCGAGACATGTGGGTGTGCCTGGCAGGCTAATAACTTGGCCTGCAACTCAATATTCTTTAAATATCTGTTTACCAATTTTGGGAGGGAAGGCCTTGTGGGAAAAGGGTCACAGCGAGACCCGTTGCTGACAGCATTTGGCCTCCACTGTGACTCTGAATAATGCAGCTCTGGCCTCAAACTGGCACCCTCTCCAAGCCGAAGCAAGTCCCTGCAGTAAATGGACCCATCATCTTTAGAAGAGTGTTTGGAGACCTTCAATTCTGGCTCTGGGAGGTCCTTTGGGGTCTCACCCACTGTCCCAGGAGGCTGAACAAAGAACTGCCCCCGTCACGTGTAATCGTCTCTGAGAGGAGTTCTTATAAATGCAGTTTTCTCCACCTCCTATTACACTGGGTTGTCTCAGTGCCCCAGGATGCCCTGGCATCTCTTATCAGTTGGCTCCTTGAGCTGCTGCCGGCCGGCTTACCCCACCGCCGGGCTCTGGTTACACCCTTGGCCGTCGTTCAGCCTAACCTGTGAGCCTCCTGGGCACCTCTCTGCACACAGCTTTTCTGAGGACCTGGCCCTCTTCCCTGTTCCACCGTCTGACCTCACATGATCTTAAGGCCCAAGTCCCACTTCCTGACTATATCCTGCCACAATGATTTCTCCCCTTTAGGAGCCAAATGACTTGTCTAGGACTCTCTTTGTCCATGACTGCCCAGGGACGCATTCCATACTGCTTAATTTTATTTCTTTTTCTTTTTGAGTCGGAGTCTCACTCTGTCACCCAGACTGGAGTGCAGTGGCCGCTCCCGGTCACCGCAGCCTCGACCTGCTGGGCTCCGGCGATCCTTCCGCCTCAGCCTTCCGAGTAGCCGGAATTACAGGCGTGCGCTACCACGCTCGGATGATTTTTTGATTTATTGTAGAGATGAGGTCTCGCTGCCCAGGCGGGTCTCGAACCCGCGGGCTCAGGCAATCCACTCACCTCAACCTCCCAAAGGCGCGGGATTACAGGCTGAGCCACCGAGCCCGGCTTATTTATTTTTCTTTTGGGTTGGAGACTCACTCTGTCACCCAGGCTGGAGTGCAGTGGCACGCTCATGGCCATCACAGCCTCGACCTGCTGGGCTCACGTGATCCTTCCACCTCAGGCTTCCAAGTAGCTGGAACTACAGGCATGCGCCACCACTCCCAGCTAATGTTTCTTGATTTATTGTAGAGACGAGGTCTCACCAAGTTGCCCAGACTGGTCTCAAACCCCTGGGCTTAGGCAATCCTCTCACCTCTGCCTCCAAAGTGCTGGGATTATGGGCGTGAGCCACTGCGCCTGGCTCCATCCTGTTTTATAGTATTATTAGTGTTGTGTCACTCCTTGTCGTTGGCTTTGGGGTGTGCCCTGCAGTTCAGTGTTGCTGTGGCTCTCTCCAGGGTGTGTAGCGTGCTGTATAATACTGGTAGCTCTATGTTTGTGATGGCCGTCAGGATGGAAGGCCAGTACAGTTTTGAGACCAAAATGGGGTTGTAAGATGTAAACGATTATGAGATGCTGATGCTGTGAGAGAGGCAGTGTGGCGTGGAGGAACCTCGAGATGCTCATCTGGAAAGTGGGGAGATGCCTACCTTTGTAGCTGTTGTGAGAATTAGAGGCAGTAGCTCTAAACATGTGACATGTAGTCACTGCCTAATTTATACATTATTAATAACCATATAATTATTATTAATGGCCAATAATTTATTATTAATACCTAATATATACATCATATATATAGACACACATTATATATTTATGTATATTTTAGAGACAGGGTCTTGCTCTGTCGCCCAGGCTGGAGTAGAGTGGTGTCATCACAGCTCACTGCAACCTCAAACTCCTGGGCTCAAGTGATACTCCTGCCCTGAGTAGCTGAGACTACAGGCGTGAGCCATTGCGCCCAGCTCATTTAAAAAATTTTTGTAGAGAGGAAGTCTCGCTATGTGGCCCAGGCCGGCCTTGAACTCCTGGCTTCAAGCGATCCTTGATTACAGGTGTGAGCGACCTTGCCTGGCTTCTCATGTATTATTTTTAATACTTTCTCCATCACAACATTTACCACGTGGCAGAGTAATTGCTTATTTGATTATCTGCTTCTTCCTTATGAGGCCATGATCTTGGACTTGTTCGTTGTTATGTCTCTATTGCATAATTAGATACATGACGCTTAGTAGGTGCTCATGAAATGCATGTTGATTGAATGAATGGGTCAATATATATAAAGCACCATGGAAAAATTTATCCCATATGCCTTCAATAAGTGATGGCTATGGCAGAGATGAACCCTTAGGGTGTAACGGTTGCAGCTCAGCAAAATAAAAACTGCTTTTGTTTTGCATTTTCTGTGGCCGCACAGTAATGAGCACAGCAGCCAA